TTGTTATTGTATCTGAAATGAAAAGGTGGTATCGGCACACTCCTACTAGTGAATGTAACTCACTGTGGTAGCTGTGAGAAAATGCATTTAATTTGTATTTATATTAAAGTGATCTTATATTCATTATTTTTAATAAGGTCAACTATTTGTAAAACTGATGCCTTCAGTTAGCATTTCTTCTTCCTATTAATCCATTCCTATTGAGCGAAAGATATGCCTTCTCACCAAACTCTGTTTTTGAACCGGAAATGTTGATTTTTTTTTTTTTTTGTTCAGGAAAATGTATCATGACTTTCAACTTACATGACAAATGAGTTCTGCGATGAGTTTCAGTGCTATATATATATATATATATGTGTATATATATATATATATATATATATATAAACATTGTGGCTCTTTGGTTCATTTCTGCTACATGATAAACTACTTTGGCCACGCTGTTTCTTTTCACAAATATAACTACCATTAGCAACAAACTAATAAGACAAGAAAGAAAAGCAAGGACGTTTATACAGGTGCTGGTCATAAAATTAGAATATCATGAAAAAGTAGATTGATTTCAGTAATTCCATTTAAAAAGTGAAACTTGTATATTATATTCATACATTACATACAAACTCATATATTTCAGATGTTTATTTTGTTTAATTTTGATGATTACAAATGACAACAAATGAAAATCTCAAATTCATCATATCAGAAAATTAGAATATTGTGAAAAGGTTCAAAATTGATGGCCCCTGGTGCCACACTCTAATCAGCTAATTAACTCAAACCACCTGCAAAAGCCTTTAAATGGTCTTTCAGTCTAGTTCTATAGGCTACACAATCATGGGGAAGACTGCTGACTTGACAGTTGTCCAAAAGACGACCATCGACACCTTGCACAAGGAGGGCAAGACACAAAAGGTCATCGCTAAAGAGGCTGGCTGTTCACAGAGCTCAGTGTCCAAGCACATTAATAGAGAGGCGAAGGGAAGGAAAAGATGTGGTCGAAAAAAGTGTAGAGGCAAGAGAGATAACCGCACCCTGGAGAGGATTGTGAAACAAAACCCCTTCAAAAATGTGGGGGAGATTCACAAAGAGTGGACTGCAGCTGGAGTGAGTGCTTCAAGAACCACCACACACAGACGTATGAAAGACATGGGTTTCTGCTGTCGCATTCCTTGTGTCAAGCCACTCTTGAACCACAGACAGCGTCAGAAGCGTCTTGCCTGGGCTAAAGAGAAACAGGACTGGACTGCTGGTGAGTGGTCCAAAGTCATGTTCTCTGATGAAAGTAAATTTTGCATTTCCTTTGGAAATCAAGGTCCCAGAGTCTGGAGGAAAAGAAGAGAGGCACTTCATCCACGTTGCTTGAAGTCCAGTGTAAAGTTTCCACAGTCAGTGATGGTTTGGGGTGCCATGTCATCTGCTGGTGTTGGTCCATTGTGTTTTCTGAGGTCCAGGGTCAACGCAGCCACATACCAGGAAGTTTTAGAGCACTTCATGCTTCCTGCAGCTGACCAACTTTTTGGAGATGCAGATTTCATTTTCCAACAGGACTTGGCACCTGCACACAGTGCCAAAGCTACCAGTACCTGGTTGAAGGACCATGGTATCCCTGTTCTTAATTGGCCAGCAAACTCTCCTGACCTTAACCCCATAGAAAATCTATGGGGTATTGTGAAGAAGAAGATGCAATACACCAGACCCAACAATTCAGAAGGGCTAAAAGCCACTATTAGAGCAACCTGGGCTATCATAACACCTGAGCAGTGCCACAGACTGATCGACTCCATGCCACGCCGCATTGCTGCAGTAATACAGGCCAAAGGAGGCCCAACTAAATACTGAGTGCTGTACATGCTCATACTTTTCATGTTCATACTTTTCAGTTGGCCAACATTTCTATAAATCCTTTGTTTTTATTGGTCTTCAGTAATATTCTAATTTTCTGATATGATGAATTTGAGATTTTCATTTGTTGTCATTTGTAATCATCAAAATTAAACAAAATAAACATCTGAAATATATGAGTTTGTATGTAATGTAGAAATATAATATACAAGTTTCACTTTTTAAATGGAATTACTGAAATCAATCTACTTTTTCATGATATTCTAATTTTATGACCAGCACCTGTATAACGTACTTAAAAGGAATGTTTAGTGCTGTAGTTGTTGTTTTTCCATGTCTTCTTCAAAAACATATTAAGTCAGTAGTCAAAGAGTATTCCAAAACATAAATTCAATTATTTTACTGCTTTTCGTATCATCTTGATCCCTCCAATCCTTCAGCCAGCTGATAAAAATCCTACATTGATCATATAGCCTAGAAAGGTCTTGATTTAAACAAAACAAAATCCAACCTCTCTGTCATGAATACTGATTATTGAGATAACAGAAAAAAATCTTAAAAACATAGTATCTGCGTTGAGATCCAATGAATAAAGATAACATTTTATGAACTCTTTTTTTTTTATATCTACATAATTAGATCTACCTAACAGCTAGTATACTCTTGGCAGTAACAGTGGTTTAAATCTGGTTTCCTGGGCAACCAGCCAGATGATACATTTGGATTTACAGCTCGAGACATTTAAAGCTATTGTCTATTAGATTAGAAAACAAACAGATTTATGCCAGCCAATAGTGTTCAGTTTCTGGGCTCACTTGAAGTCGATCTGTTCTGCTTTCATCGATAAACTGCTGGTGAAATCACTGGTTTTTATAGCATACATTTCTCCAGTTTTATTCTTGCACATTCTTTTCTAGATTAATCACTGCTTATATTATTCATCCTCAAGTGAAGCAATTCCATCTGTTATGAATGTTACTGTTTTCCTTCCAACTTCCTCATCACCACTTCCATTAATGTCACTATCACCACAAAAAGTATTAGTATTAACACTCTGCACTCTCAACGGTATAGTGGGTGGGTTTTCCACCAAGTACAGTATAGGTAGAAAGGACTAAATCACTTTTTTAATAACCATCCTACCATCCAGCCTGCTCTTTCTCGCTCCTCTGGGGAAATGGTTTTCTAAATGTGGGAACGTGAGCGTGCTCATGCAGAGCCCTATTTACAGTCTGTCTGCATTGCTTATAGACACTAATTTAGTAAAAGAAGTTATTTACATTATACTCTATCAGATTCACGATGGATCTACAATGAATGATGGAACGTGAAGAATACTAGGTACATAAACACTGCAAGTGTGCATGTGCAGAGAAAGGAAACAATGTCACAAAGATTGGCAGATGTGACAACAAAGAATCCCCCCGAACCCAAAAAAGGTTGTACACTATACCTTTCAGTTCATGCATAAAATGGTTACAACTACAGCACCAAAAATAAGAATGTTAAGAAGAAGTTAGACATTTTTCCACATTGAAATTCTTTAAGCTTTGATTTTTATTTTTTGAAGTATTAAACTTTTTCAAGGCATTCCACACTTTGAGCTGTACAGCTTTACAGCAGTGTGATATGGCCAAAAAAATGTATGATAATATATCTTACATTTCCATATTTCAATTTCAATATTGATACTTATTCATTGATAAACCTTTACAGATAGTTTAGCCCTACAACCAACCCCGCTTAGCCTGACGTGAGCTTGAAAGGCTTATTACTTTATTTGTACAAAGTAATATTGTATTTTCTATTGATATCAATCAGGTGTCTATTAAGATACATATTGATACTGGTTTATTGCCCAGTCCTAGTAATATTATTTTTTTCTCAGCTTTAAGTAAGCTTCGAGAATAAATAAATAAATAAATAGATAAATAAAAAAAGGAAAACCTGGTTAATCCTCAAACCCTAATGTTATGCTTTCTCATTAGGGCTAATTCACCTGGATGTTCACAACTTTAGATAATTGTGCCAATTCTAACAAACTGTGACATTCATTCGACCCTGACATCCACAATTAAGGATCTAAACAAGTGACAGTTGCCCAAAGGGGGGAAGCATTGCAATAGGATATTCATTCAATTTCCAAAGGAGCTCTGAATCTATCTAATAATGTAGACTTGGCTCATGAAATAAGATTTTTCTGCTGTCCTCAACTAAAAGTAAATGTAACTTTCAGGTAAAGAATGAGTGAGCATCATTTAAATATAAAGAAAAGACAAAAATGTATCGTATCAAGACTGTATCGTCTCTAGGTATTCATTAGTACAGATTAATTAGCTGTCAAAGCAAAACTTGTACATGCAAACACAAATGCACCACCAGCATCATTGGCTGCAAGCAGTTGCCTTTATGCAGCACTGCTGAAAATAAAATCTTCCTCTTTTCAGCTGAGGAAACCTCAGTTAACCTGGAGATAATAGAGACGGTTTAAATGATAAATCCCTGCAGCTTTGTCTTAAAGGAAGAATAAAATAAACACCTTGTTTGTTACAGTCATCCTACCCAGAAACACATCTAATTTGTTCACCTAATGGAAGGAGAGTGCAAACAGAATCTCTGGATTTGACAACATGTTAAAACATCACATGCATTCAGTGTGCCTCTACATGACACATCACCATGATCTCCTGCGGTTTGCATGATCTTGCCTCTCATTCTAAAAATGCTTTAATAAAGCAGTGTGCTAAAATGACCCAAAAAGAGCACGTGGATTCATAAAATTGTGATGGGAATGCAGCATCCACCGAATTATGTAAGCACTATACTGCAGCTATTAAATCACAGTGATGCTGTGAGCAAAATGACTGACGGGTGTTTCAAATGTTTAGACTTTAAACTGGCGTTAAAGTTGCCCTAAAATAATCACCAAGAGGTAAATGAGTCAGTTAAGAGATAATTGAACACATCTCCATGCAAATTTAAGATTTACGCATGGACAGGTTTTGCAGTAATGCTTTATCGACCGAACTTTTACTAACAGGCGATCAAGAGATAAGTTTTAAGGGTTTGAGGCGCGATGCGCACGCAGCGTCCTTTTCTGTTGGATTCTGCATGGGGATCAACGCGCTGCACCTGCGGCTCCCATATGCGGCTGTTACCTTTGGCCGACATCGCTCCCTATAGAGCCCATGCTCCCGATAGGGTTGGAGGGATGGACCCAGGTGGGCTCTGGGGGAGTTTGCACGTCGGTCTTGACGTCTGGGTCGATCTCGGAGGGTGAGGGTGTCAGTTTGGCGCCTGCCATGCTCGCGCAGCGTTACCTCCAGCAGTGCGGTTCCTCCTCCTGTTGTCAGAACAGGCTCATTTCAAGCACTGAGCCAGATGAGAGAAAATGTATCCCGATCTCACAGAGGCGCACAGAGATGGAGGAGGAGGGGGAGGAGGTTTCCCTCCCTGCAGCATCACCTCAGATACGCTGGAGGAAAATGACTCGTTTTGTGGAGTCTTCTTCCATCGCTGATGGGGATCGGAGCGCCTGGTGATGCTCACATTTCTCACGTCGTCACGATCCAACGTCAGGCGCTCCACCAACCCGACTTGCTTTCCAGCGAGTTACATAACCGATTGCAAAGTTAATGATCGCGTATTCTTAGTGATCTGACCAAGAACTAATTCATCGAGTCAAGGACCAAACAACAGCATAGTTCTCCTAAAGAAAAGCCTTCCTTGTGAATCCAGCTCCACACGCAGCTCAGTCAGGATTGATGATAAACCGCACAATCAAATGAGCAGGTGGCCCCTGGTAAACAATACACGGCAGGATCCTGCTGGTTTGCATAGAAACACAGATCACAGGTGTGTGCAAACATAATCATCCCCATCATACATGTACAAAGCTTGTTTTTATGCATAGAAGGGAAAATATTTATTTCTGTTCTTTTTTACTTTAGGAGCAAGCAGCTCAAATGAGATGTATTACAAGCTGAATATGATTTGAATGAGATCAGATTTTATTCAAATATCTTTGAAGAAGTGCTATGATACTCTAAATCAGTGGTTCTCAAACTTTTTCTGTCATTCCCCACTTTGGACAAGGGGGAATTTTCAAGCCCCGCCTGTCCCCATCGCCCCAACACAATGCTAATGAAATATGAAACGATCTTAAAATGTTCCAATTTTACTGAAGTAACAAGTAGTATCTAAATACAAACTATCTACATCAAATAACAGCAAGCTCAAAAATAAAGAAAATAAAAACAAAAATAAAGAAAATAAAAATGCAGCTCAAAGATAGAAAAAATTAAAGTGCCACTCTGCAATCTGTTAATAAAAGAAAAGAAGTGAAATCCATCGGGGTTGTCATGCTTTGTTTTCAGTGAAGCAACAGTTGAAAAGCCCATCTCACAGAGATATGATGTGGCAAAGGGAAGAAGAATGCACACAGCTCTCTGCCCGATGAGTGGATACTCCCTCTCCACTCCAAACCAGAAACATGAACATGTGGCTGTGTGAATCAAACGCCGTTATTTATTTAAGATAAAATATTTCAAATTCAGTTATTTATGATCAACCTGCGCCGTCAATCCCGGCGCATGTGCACTTTATTTGCAGTCTGGACGCTGAGGGTAAACATGCTGTGTTTCTGACTGCAGCGCTGAGAGGGATTCCTGCGATAGCGGGGGAGAACGGGGTGGGGATGGGGGAGGCGCCCCACGGCAGCACCTGCAGCTGGAGGACAAGAAAAGGAACGATACGTGCTTTCACGTAAGAGTCTCCAAAAGTCGCTAATTTGTCGCTAGTCGCTTTTTTGAAAAAGAGTCGCTGGAGGGGTCTGAAATATAGCGACAAAGTCTCTGAGTTGGCAACACTGGGGCGCGAAAGTTTATTCCGTTACAAATAATATGCCGACGTCACGTCAATCATTATTTTGGCACTTCAGTTCCAGGTGAAATTTTTCTCATATCTAATGTTCTTTTAATTAGACTGCATGTAGGCTATTAATGATTACTTTGGGGGTTTGATTGGTCTAAAAAGCGGCAACATACAGCTATAAGGACAGTTTGCTCTCACACGTTCTACATTTATAGTCACACACACACACACACACACACACACACACACACACCGGAACTTGGCGCGCCCCACCTGTCACGTCTCAATTCCCCACCAGTGGGTCGCGCCACACACTTTGAGAACCACGGCTCTAAATAGACAAAGTAGGACATTTTGTATGGAGGACCAACTGTGCCATATTTAAAATACATACAGAAAAAAAATAAATTTCAATAACTAAATAAGCATGCAATTAATTGCCCCCAAAAATACAATAAACAAATAAATGTAGTTAGAAATTTAATTATACAGTGAGACATAAATGTATGGGTCTCTTTTAATTAGATTCTTTATTTATTCGCCTTTATTTATTACCTTATTTATTTATTGTCCATTATAATCTTCAACTTTATTTATTTATTATTTTTTAAGTATTTATTTGCGTGCATGATATACTATTGTCTGTTTTATTGGTCCTTTGTATTTTTTTTACCCTCTTTATTTCTTTAATGCTATTTATTGACACACCCATTCCTTATTTACATAATGAGGCAGAAATGAATACAGAAATGTGAAAACGGCAGGCAGAAATTAATTGCGTTGCAGAAATAAATAGGGTACAAAAATACAAAGGGATTAATAAAACAGACAAAGGTATTTTCAAATGCGCAGAAATAAATACTTAAAATAATATACATTTATATCTCACTGTATAATTGAATTTCTACCTGCATTTATTTGTTTATTGTTTTTTTGGGGGCAGTTAATTTTATGCTTATTTATTTATTGAGCATTTATTTATTTCTGTATTTATTTTTAAATATGGCAGATATGGTCCTCCATAATTTGGAAGCAGAGTGAAGATGTTTTAGTCGTTTATATAATATACCATCTCCTTGTTTTGTTTAGATGTCTTTTTTTGACAAATTCCTTTCCTTCATTACCATATACTGATGGCCTGCTAAATGCAGAAGACTATGAAATTTCTCGTAAACTGGTTCCTCTATAGTCCATGTAGAATTCTTGTGATATGTGACGAACAACATGAAACAAATACACAGCAAGCTTGTGATTTGAGAATAAAAAATACTGGATATCATCTCTGACATGTATGTCTGAAACAACTGAATCTATTTAGCGATAAATTAAGGCACCTTCAAAGATCAAACATAACATAAACATAAAAGTCTTTAAATACAAAAATCATATTTTTTGGCTTCTTCAGTACGAAACAATCTTTTCTAAATCCATTATATTTCAAAGTTTAAATATAAGTTTGGCTTCAAAGTGTAGGCAATAGACATGTGAAACGTCCTTGAGTATTTGACCTTTTGCAATGAATGTCAAAATTGGTATCACACAAATCCTTTTGTTCTTAATTTTAACCAATCTGTCTCTCTGTTTAGATCTTTAGCCAAGTGATTCGTAAATGGTTACAATGTTTCTCTCAAATGTAATATTTGACTGGTGCATAGAAAATGTTCTTGGTATATGTCAAAGTAAAATAGGTCTAGTTATGCTTGTGGGTACATATGATAGACAAAGATAACAGGTTTACTGTAATCAGGAATAGATCACATTGCTGATCTAATTTTCTTTAGTGGGAGTGGAAAAGGTCAAAGGGCAAGTCAAAGAAGTGTTCCATTGTTTTGGAGGTCAATAGTGGTCTGCTCTTATCAACCAGAAATGGAAAAACACAACACTGGTTTAAACAACAACAGAAAATAGTTTGTTTAAAATAATCTAGGCCATTATTTCCGGAAATACAGAAAAGTGTATATATATTAGGGCTGCAACTAACGATTATTTTAAAAATCGATGAATCGGACGATTATTTTTTCGATTAATCGATGAATCGGACAAAAAATATTTTTTATATTAACCTCTTTATTCCAAAATAAACATTTTAGACAGAACAAACAAGCACACAAGTACAGGTTTCTCATTAACTGTACTGGTGCAATATGAAAAATAAATGTTTGTGTTAAAACTACGCAAACTTACATGAGAAATGTAGCTGTACATCCACAAAATATAGGCTACTTTGTTTCATAAAGCGCAAAAAAAGACATTTTTGTTTTTAAAAGCCCCTAAGGGGTTCAAACAATAGGCCCCCCCATTTCAACAAATGAGTTTTTTTAGACTAGAAGAGTTCTGCCTTTTAAGACAGGAAAGTATAGCAGTTAAAGTTGCTACTTGAGAAAATACTGAACCATAGAGATAAAAATAGCCCTGTGATTCAAATTATAAATTGTATTTGGAATAAAAATGAGAGAACTAGGGGTGCTAAAAAACAAATCCTCCAAAGACAGATATTTACATGGGAATGTGGCAGATAATTAATTGACATATTACTGATCTTGCTGGATTTTATTCTGCTTTACTTCCATAAATTGCAGGATCTTCTTTATCTTTGCCAGAAGATTTAAACTTTAAAAGCCTTGCCCTCATAATTTGCAAGTTAATTTATTTATAAAGTAAATGTAAACGCTGCTTAAGCTAATTCAAATGAAATTAAAAGAAAAATAAGTAGCAAACCTTATCACTGTCTGTTACCTACTAACACGGTAAGGAAAGCATCAGATGAGCTACCTGAGAAACTAACGTAACGTTTCCCCACTTTAAAACCAAACAAACATGGTGGTTCCGTGCCATGTTAATTTCTTTAGAAAAAAGTTGCATGTTATCACTTTTTTCGCTTTACAAAGCGCAGGCTATTTTAATTATTGTGATCAATTTGCGCCGTCAATCCCGGTGCATGCGCGCTTCATTTGCAGTCTGGACGCTGAGGCTCTGACTGCAGCGCTGAGAGGGACTCCTGCGGGAAAACGCAGAGAGTAGGAATGATACATGCTTTCACTAAGAGTCTCCAAAAGCCGCCAGTGACACAGAAAAAAGTCGCCAGATTTGTCGCTAGTCGCCTTTTTAAAAAATAGTCGCTGGAGGGGTCTGAAAAGTCGCTGAGTAGGCAACACTGCACCTGCGGCACTGACTCGCTCTGCCATATTTTTTTTTCTTCCTCTTTCAGTCAAGAGGCAGTGATGACGGCGCGGCGGATGACGCAATAATCGCGCGACACAACTAATCGATGATGAAATTCGTTGCCTACATATATATATATATATATATATATATATATATATACACACATACATATATATATGTGTGTATATATATATATATATACACACATACATATATATATGTGTGTATATATATCTTCTAAAAAATCATTTTAAGCCATAAACCTGATGTTTTTTATTTGTCATTATATTCTCTAGGCCATAATAACAAACTCTAGTTTGCTAGATGATGCTTCTTCCTAATAATGTTTGCTGGATTTGCTGCACAGACAGATCCTCCACAACTAATGCGTTTAGAAAGCACACAGCATGGTACACACCAAATTCAGTGGAGATAATATTTGGACTTCAGCCTCCAGGAAACACATTAACCTATCTGGTAATGTTGCGGAACAGGAGATGGGACTGTAATTATTTAGTCCTCAGTTGGATGAGGGAGGCTTGAAGATGTACCAGCTGATAAAAACGTGAGAGATTTGTCATACTAAGAGCCATTTAATTACCTTAAAAATTGATTGCTGTTAACTTTCTTTTGTTTTTCATCCAGGATATTCAGACTATAGACTTATTATTTTATTTTTTTGTGAGTAAAAGCATTCTAAATCTTGATGACAGGAGGGAAGCCATGATGT